CTGAAGTTATGTTGGATAGTGTCTGTTTTTAGAAAATCCACATCGAACTATTTGATGTTGAGGGTTTCATGTCCCCAGTTTACAACCAAGTGGATCAGAAAAACAATACACACACACACACACACACACACACACACACACACACAATAGGTATATACTACATCTCTAGAGTGGAGAAGAGAGAAATGAAACAAATGTGATGAAATGATAACAATGGAGAATCAAGGTGGAGAGAATATGGGAACTCACTGTGCCATTCCTGCAACTTTCTGTAATTTTGAAAGTATTTTAAAATGGAAAGCTTGAGAAATAAATTCCAGATGTGTTAAAAATCTCAATAATTCTACTTCTTGGAATCTATTCCAAAAATGCTATCATATGTATTAAAATATTATATATGTGAATCTAAAATACTTTTTCAACATTTTGACCATAAAGAAAAATTAGAAATATAGGAAGTATGCATCATTTGGAAATGGTTATAGTATCTGTGTAACACAGAATGTACAGGTATTAACAAGAATAAGATGGATTTATATGAACTGACATAGAAAGATCCTCATGATATATCATTAAGTGGAAAAGCAAACAGACCAGTAGATAGAGTGTGATCACATCTATGTTGTTCATAAAAAAGTTAGAAAAAACTACTGTAGGTGAGTATGAGTATTTGTATATAGCTACACTTTTCTTTCATTGAGTTTATTGGTACATTTTAGGTATACAGCACAGTTACATTCATCATTGGGATCTTGTACCTTTACATGACAGGTCTTGGTTCTCATTTTTTCCCCATACCCTCCCTTCACCCCCTCCACCCTCCCCACTCTACAAAGACTTAGTATGTATATAGCTACATTTGTAACATAGAAATGGTCTGAAAGAATACACTATTCTGCATTATTAGCAATGGTTAACTCTAGGGAAAAAGAATAGTACTGTGCTTTCCAATTTTTTCATAGTAGCCATGTAATACTTTTATTACCAGTTGAAAAAAAAGCCCATGTATAAAAAGCCATGAATATATACAATATGTGTTTGAAAGAGTTCCTCTCAAGTTGATTACAGTACTTAATGCTTGGAATTATCTTCAGTTAACTGGAAGATTCCTGGTCCAAACCCTACATATAGGGAATTGATTGGCCTTCCAATGGACCGTGCTCAGGTACACTTTGTCATTAACTTCATAGAGGATTAGGCAGCCCGCGGAGCCACTCCCTACTTGCTGGGCAACAGTCCAGAAGTGAATTCCCTTGCAGCTTTCCGAAAGGAGGTCAAACAAGTCCTCGGGGACACTCAAAAGGAAGACATTGCCAAAGGCTAAATTTGGCATGGAAGTCGGAGCCTGGACTGGGATAAACCGTGCCAGCACTTTCCAGTTCTGCTTTCAAGGCCTTGATCAGAATGGGCAGAACTAGAGAGTTGTTTCCAAGAGCAGCTTAGCAGCCCAGGCCAGATTCTTAAGGTGAATCTGAAAATGGAAAATTCTCCTCTACCTCCCAGGCCCTTCCTCTCTCCTATTTGAGAGACGTTTAAATTTCCCTCCCTTTCCCTTGCTCAGAGCAATTTTCCTAGCGATAATTTCTGCCAACTTGATTAGGTCCTACTTTAGTTTTGCTCAAGACAGGAAAACAATCGAGGCCTGCCTTGAAAGCACAAGGAGCCGAGTTGGATCCCCGGTACCAAAAAAAAAAAAAAAAAAAGACAAGAAAAGGCTAGCAGTGTTCTTCTTTTTCTTTCCTCATCGTTCCCAACCCCACACTCTTTAGGTGTAATTAGCCAGTTTTGTATTGAAGTTACTTTTTTTGTCTTCCTTTCTCATATAATATTTTGTTGAATTGTAATTCATACATCCTAAAATTTGTCATTTATATAATTCAGGCTGGATGTGGTGGTGCACACCTATAATCCCAGTACTTGGGAGACTGAGACAGGAGGATCACTGAGTTCAAGGCCAGCCTGGGCTACATAGTGAATCCAAGGCCAGCCTAAACTACATATCAAAATCCTGTCTCAAAAACTAAAAATGGGAGGAAAAAATGGAAACAAAGCTTAAAAGGGGGCGGGATGTATCATCTACACGTGCAAATTCCCATGAGGAGTGTTATCATTATGTATGCCTAGAATGTGCCAGTAAGTGTTTTACTATATTTTAAAAATAAATAAAAATAAACTATATAGTTCAGTGGTCTTTAGTGTGTCCATAAGAATTGTATAACCACTACCACCACCACCACCACAGTATATTTTAGAACCACCCATAATGAAATCTATTACCCACTACCACTATCTATTACCTCATTTTTCCTTCATCCTCCCAGCCTTAGATGAGCACTAGCCCACTTTGTCTCTCTGTAGTTTGCCTATTCTTAGCATTTAATATAAATAAAATCACCCCACATGTGGTGTTTTACGTGTAGCTTTCTCGCTTAGCATATTTTTTGAGGTTCATCCCTGTTGTGGCCTGCGTCAGTACTCCATCCCACTTTATGGATGAATAATATTCCATGTGATGATGATAGCACATTTATTTACCCATTTATCAGCTGATGGCCATTTGAGCTGCTTCCATTTTGAGGTGATTATGGATAATGTTGCTATGACCATTTTTGCATAAGGCCCTTGTGTGGGCACACATTCTCAGTTCTCTTCGTTATTTACTTAGAATCACTGGGTCATATGGTAACCCCATGTTTAAGTTTTTTGTTTTTGGTTTTTGGTTTTTCAGTGCCAGAGACTGAACTCAGAGCCTTTGCATTGAACTACATCCTCAGCCCTTTAAAAAAATTATTTTGAGGCAGGTAGCAGCACCACTGAGCTAAATCCCCAGCCCTTAACAATATTAGTTTGAGACAGGATCTTCCTATATCACTAAATTGCCTAGACCGAGCTTCAATTTGCAATCCTTCTGCCTCAGCCTCCTAGAGTTCAGGGATTATGGTGTGTGCCGCCACAGTGGCCCTTTTTAATGTTTTGTGAGAGAGTCAAGCTGTTTTCCTAAGTAACTGCACTATTTTACCTTTCACTGATATATGCCTGTTTCCGTTTCTCTACAAACTCGACAACGCTTGCTGCTGTCTGTCCTCGTAAAATAGTACTTCATGGTGGTTTTGATGGTATCTCTTTAGTGACTAGTGACGCTGGAACATATTGGGCATTTGTATATTTTATTCTTTTTGATGAAATAGAGCTGGTCTTAATCTTATTTTCAAATTGTTCACTGCTAGTATATAGAAATAAAATTGTTTTTGTGTCTTGATCTTGTATCTTTCAACCTTGCCGACCTCATCTGTTCACTCAATAGTTGTTTCTGTTTTCAAGGCTCATCAACTTGATGAGTGAAAAAAAGGTTGCTCAGCTAGGATTTGCCCTCAGCTACTCCCATCTTACCAGATCCTATTGCCCCTTCTAATTACACTAATTTTGCCTTATCTCCAGGAGAGAAGACCTAGCACATTTCTTCCCCCACCCATTGAGTTTATTGGTACATTTTAGGTATACAATACAGTTACATTCATCATTGGGATCTTGTACCTTTACATGACAGGTCTTGGTTCTCATTTTTTCCCCTTGTCCCTGCCCTCCCTTCACCCGACCTAGCACATTTCTTTCGAAAGTTTGCTTGCCTGTGAACTGCCTCTTTTGGATCTGCAGCATTAGTTTCTTTGGCTACTAATCTATATAACTAAAATCCCAGTCTCCACTTAACACATAAACTGGTAATATTGACTTTTCCAGGGGACAAAAATGGCAATAAATTCCTCATCTGTCACACCTTCATAAATCTGATTTTAGGCACTTGTTCATTTACTGCAAGCTTTACCAATAAATCCTAGGTTTTGTGTAGCCTGCTGTTTGTGTTCCTGTAACCAGTATGGTTTTTATCATTATTGTCAACAAGTACTGTCTTGGCCCATTCAAGCAACTGTATAAAAATACCACAAACTTAGAGTCAGGGATTTAGCTCAGTGTCACTGTGACTGCCTGGCAAGCACAAGCACAAGGGCCTGAGTTCAATCCCTGTACACACACACACACACAAACACACACACACACACACAAACTCAAAAACTAGGTAGGTTATAAACAACAGGAATTTATTTCTCACAGTTCAAGAGGCTGGGAAGTCCAAGATCAAGACAGGTAGATTCTACATCTGGTGAGGGGTAGCTTTCTAACTTATATACAGCACTTTTCATTGTGTTCTGTCACATGGTGGAAGGGATGAAAGTCTCTTGGGGATCTTTCAAGAGCACTAATTGTGTTCATGAGGGCGCTGCCTTCATAAGCTAATCACCCTCCAAAGGCCCCTACCTCCTAATACCAGGGCTTTGAGGGTTAGAATTTCAACATATGAATGGGTAGCTGGAGTTAACACAAATATTCAGACCATAGAAAGTACCAAGGAAGGAAGGTCCCAAAGAGAATTCTACTACTTTAGACCACAGGTCAACCACAAATGCAAATATTTCATACTTACAGAAGAAAGTGAACTGGTAATAGTCCAGAAATATAGCATCAAGCTGTTTTCTATTAAGCCAAAGATTAATTTTGTTATAATTGCTATACAGAAATAGTATTTTAAGTCACTTAGCATTTAAATGATGATGTAGCCATCAAAAATATATAAAATATGTATTTATATTTAAAAATCTTCAAGATTCACTATTTTGTGAAAAACCAAATTACAGAAGTTTTTGTCATATTGATTTTCTAGTGCTGTTTTAATAAATCCGCAGAAATTCAGTGGCTTAAAACAACACAAATTTATTATCTTATAATTCTTCAAATCTTAATCATGTATGGGCCTCACCAAGCTGAAATCAAGATGTGAGCTGGACTGTGTTTCTATCTGGAGGCTTCCTCGGTTTTTCAGATGTTGCCATGATTCATGTGGTTGTAGGGTTGAGGTCTCCATGTCCTTGCAGGCTCCCATAGCTCCTAGAATCCTCCCTCTCTCTCTCTCTCTCTCTCTCTCTCTCTCTCAGGGAGGGAGGGAATGCAGAGACTGACTGTTAACGGGTGTTAATGGGTGAGGGCTTCCTCCTTTCCATCATGAGGCATTGTGGAATTACATAGTGGTTAATGGTTGTATAACTATGGCTATACTAAAAATTACTGAATATGCTAAAATGGTGAGTCTTACGATATGTGGACTGTATTTCAATTTTTTTGAAGTCTAAAACCCATTTTCCAAAGTACAAGCTGATCCACTTGAGTTCAAATCTGATATTACCATTTCATTTTCAATTTTTTGTTAGCACTACTAGATACTGAGATGCAAAAATGAAAAGATTTTGTCTCTGCCTTTTAAGAGCCCATTGACTAAAAGGAGAGACAATCATATGAGCACTTCATTTTAATTGAACCTTGTCAGGATGAAGCCAGAAGTGTGCTTTGAGATCACAACGGCTATCCTAGGAAACCCGGGCTTCCTTCTAAAGGCAGGAGGGAGTTGCTGAAGGCTTTCCAACTGGGAATTGACAGGATCAGTTTGTGTTTTAGTCATATCCTAGCAGCTGCGTGAAAGACTGATGTGACAGCAGCACGACTCGAGTGTTAGTTACTTTTCTCTCGTTGCTGAGACAAAATACCCAGCACCAAAAGTTAAAGGGGAGGGGGTTTGTTTGGCTTACAGTTTGGAGAGGTTTCAGTCCACAATCAGTTGGCTCCAAGGCAGGTATGGCAAACAGGCATAGCAGAGGAGAGACAACATAGCACCCACACAGTAGCAAAGGCAACAAGGGAGAGAGATCTTAACAGTGCCAAACTAACCACTCACATGTAGTGGTTTAGTAATCACACACCCTTAACGCCAGCATCACACATTCCAGATTCAACTACTTCTGAAAAAGAAAGTCCCACCTCATCCACATGAGGCTTTGGGGGAACTTCTAGACCCAAACCCTAACAGCTAGTGTCAGAGAGATCAGTTAGAAGACAATTGCAGTAGTTTGGGTGAGAACTAGGGGAAGCTTAAATGAAAAGCAGTGGTGGTAAAAATGAAGAGGAATTGAGATTTCATAAATAAATTGTATAAAAGCCTGTAGGACTTGGTCTGATAAGGAGCAAGGGAGAGAGGAATATGGGATGACTCACAGATTTCTGATGTAGATTACTGGATAGATGTTGGTTTCATTCATGGAGGAAAAAATATAGCAAGAAGTTTGCAGGTTGGTATAATGAGCTCAGTTTAGGATGATAGATATAAGTCACCTGATAAATGATGCAGCGTGTCTAGCCATCAGTGTTACTTTGATCTAGCTATGTGCTAGTTAATCCCCCTCTGCTGAAATTTCCTGATCTATAAAATGGCGGCATTGTATATTATAATAAATAAGGGTGTGTATGTGTGTGTGTGTGTGTGTGTATACATATTGCCCCACATTCAAGTATTAGGGGTCAGCTTTGGGGAAGTTGAGAACTATATATTAACTATTTTTAAATATGTGCCTAGCTCTTTACAAGAAAATTTAGTGGCATTAGATTGTAATTCTAGCCCTCTGGGAGGCTGAGGCACAAGGATCATAAGTTTGAGCCCAGCCTAGCCAATTGAGTGACTTACTGAGATCCTGTTTCAAAATTTTAAAATCTTAAAAGACTTGGGATATAGCTCAGTGCCTTAGTTTCAATCTCCTGTACTGAAAAGAGACAGGGGGAAGAGGAGAGGAGACAATAGATATTGCACTACTATTTACAGATGCAACTTGATTGATGCCACCTCACTGAATATACAGATATACTACGAAGATCAGGTGGAAGGTGATAATTGCTGCCCCAAAAGACTCAGTATAAGATTCTTTTAATTAGGCATTCCGCCTAGTGAATATAAACCAATTTGCTGTAGAAAAATTACATAAATTTCAAAAATAATAAAATCTAACTTTTGCTTTATGCTTGCTACATCCTAAGCATCACACTAAGCTTTATACAAGCATTATCTTTTTCATCTTTATAGTAATCCTACTATTCATGTTCTCATTTTACAGATAAGCAGAAGCTTAGAAAAATTAAATAACAACCAAGATCATTAATCTAGTAATCAGTAAAGCCACAATTCACACCCAGGTCTCCAGAGTCCAAAATCAAGAACAAGAACTATTGCTACATATGAAACCAGGTATTCTTATGTATAAAAGCATGGTTATTTGCATGCTTAGATAATTTAATGAGCAAAATACCAATCTGGTCTGATTTATGTGATTTATATTAGTATTTATTATGCTTCTTCCTCTTTAGCATTCCCAGTTAATTCCCAAACTCACTCCGTAATCTTCATGTGAGGTCCTGTTATCTCTTTGCCCATCTTCCCTTCCTCTCTTCACATTGCTCTGTTTCGCACATAGATTGGACATGTTGAGTAAACAAAGAAAGCCTTGGCTGGAAATAGCAACATTTGCAGTATCTCTCAGAAGGCCTTTCCTCATACTCATTCCTGACCTATGCTTTTGGAGTCAGGACTATTGAGCTCACTATTGTTCAGCCCAGTTGTTCACCCCAGTGGTCCAGCCACACAAAAACTTCCAGAGGGCCGGGCGTGGTGGCGCCCGCCTACAATCCCAGCACTCGGTAGGCTGAGGCAGGAGGATCGCTGTGAGTTCGAGACCAGCCTGGGCTGCACAGTGAGTTCCAGGTCAGTCTCAACTAAATAGTAAGACCCAGTCTCAAAAAAAAAAAAAAAAACCTTCCACAGGAATAGGAAAGGTCAAAGAAATGTACATTCATAATGAGATGGGCCAATGGGGCAGGAGGGAGGAATTTGCTGAGTGGGAATGGAAAAGTGGAGTCCTTTGTTCTTCATAAGAGGGTGTGGCTGTGATTTTTGCAGAAAACAGAATGGAAGCCAGCTGAGCAAGGGCATCTCTATCATAAGGCAGTGTATATAACAAAAATGGATTCACAAACAAAGCTAATATATTTTAATGAGGCCATCTCGGGACTCTTTATATCCATATCCATATAGATTTCATAGGCAAGGAGTAGTCTCTGCCCATGGCCGTTTGTCTGAATACAGTAAGTCCCCGACTTACAAACATTTGAGTTGTGAATTTTCACAGATATGAATAGACCTCACCTTAGAATACTCATATTTGTGAACAAATCACAGAAGTAGCTCGAATGTCTGTCAGGCCTTGTCATAGTTTTGCAGTAGTGTGCTTACAGTGCAGTAGTATACCGTAGTACAGTGCTCAATCAGAGTCCAAGATGTCTGGAATCAAGAGGAGAAGCAGTGGTGATGTGGAGGGGACTGATAGGAAATGCAAAGCAATATGCATTGTATGTAGCTGGGCATGGTGGCGCATGCCTGTAATCCCCGCACTCGGGAGGCTGAGGCAGGAGGATCACTGTGAGTTCGAGACCAGCCTGGGCTACATAGTAAATTCCGGATCAGTCTCAACTACATAGTGAGACCGTGTCTCAAAACCAACAAACAAACCAAACCAATACATTGTATGTCTGTGTCAAGGGTGTAGAAGACTCACTTTAGATTTATGAATGAATCCATGAATGTTCCCTCAGAACAGAACTCGTTCGTAAGTCAGAGACTTACCATGGTGATCAAAAAGCTGAGCAAAATCTTGCCAAGGAAGAGAAATTTAAATTAATTTAGTATGCAGATTTTTTCTTGAATTGTTGGACTGACTGAATTGATTTTTTTCATGGTGGGAAGGCACCTCAAATAATCAAGATGCATTGTATTCACGATTTAATTTCCCAAATGTCAGCATTGCAGTACATTTCAAAAGTAATTCATTTTGCAGTGTGTTTTTCCCATTACACTCATACGGCAGAAATTATTACAAACAGCCTAGGAAGCTGGGATCATCATTATATCAACTAAGGGGTCTGACTGGGCTGTTTGACAGTAAAGGTTATTTCTCCTGAAAAAAGAAAAAGAATTCCACATTGTTTCAAAAATAAACGTATTTGATATCTTCTATCAACTCTCCCTCCGTCTCTCTCCAGCCTTGAATATTCCCTCAGTTTCTCAAGCCTGTCTTGCCTGAACATGACTTATTATTTTCCTCTGTGTTTTGCTTATTTATACTTTTTCTTGGTTAGAAAAATCTATGTTCCTTGTCTTCCATATTTCCATCTCACCTTCAAAACTAGAATTTACTTTGTTCAAGATACCTTCCCTGACAATCACATCTCAAGTGTGATTTTTTTTTAGTTTCCTTATCTATTGCCACTTCAGTCTATTTATGCCATATTTTCATGCAGTTACTAAAATGTTTCTTTGGAGTTGAACCCAAGTTGTTTTATTTGTGTATGTTTTAGTCTTTGATTAGATTTTACATTGTCTAGAGAACTTAAGGGCTGTGACTTTTATTTCTTTTGCATCCAGGAATAATACAGTGACTCATGTTAGAATGGCATAAATGCCATACCTGTGATAAATTTCAACCCGCATCAAACATTTGATGGCGATAGCAAGATTTTATGAAACAAGCATCAAATGCATTTCAAAAGGTTAAAGATGCAATGTGAACATCCACTCTGCCTTTCATGAATCTTTCACCTAAGAACTTATTAAAGTTTTTTTTGTTTATATTTATCGTAGTTTTCTTATCAAATCTCAGGGCAACAACTTATTAACTAATGGACAGAAGACTCTGTTGTAGAAAACAAAATCACCATTCATTACCAACTTATGGTTCAACAAATTTAATTATTCTACAAACATTCATAGTACATAGGACTGAAAGGACATTAAATTTACTTTCCTTTGGCAAAACCAAAACACACTGGAACAATAACAGAATAAAGTTATCTCAATTTCAGTCCTAAGTAAGTGTCTGAGACAACATGGTGTGAATTAGGATGGGGGAGGAGATATGCATGAAAGCATAGCCAGTGAGCTCTTCCTGAAGGTCTTATGATGTGAACTTGGCCTCAAATGATGGGCAAAGAAGAGACCAAAAGCAACAGTGTCCATGCTGTATTTGGGAGATGGTTCCTAGTGTACTCTTTCATATGGTTAGAGTAAATACACATCATCACACATTCTGGCTGGGTGTGGTGGTGCATGCCTGTTATCCTATCACTGTGGAGCCTGAGACAGGAGAATTGCCACACAGAAGTTTAAGGCCAGCCTGGGCTACATAGTGAGTTGAAGGCCAAACTGAATGACACAGCGAGACCCTGTCTCAAACAAAAAGAAGAAAAAAAGAACAAGATCACTTTCTGGTTTTTAGGGATGTTCTTTGCTGCTGGATTGGTCACTATTTTCAGTGGTTGGTTACCATTTTCAGCAGAGAGAATGAACAGTATTTCCAATGGAGAGCAAAAGGAAATGCATACACAAATATGCTTAAAAATAAAACACCTCATGAGTATATTAAGGTGGTAGTCTTTTTTTTTTTGGCACCGGGGATCAAACTCTGGACCTTGTGCTTGTGAAGCAGGTGGTGGAACCACTGAGCTAAATCCCCGGCCCCTTGTGAGTGTGTGTGTGTATGTATGTGTGTGTGTGTCAATACCGCCAATTCAAATCTATCATCTGTACTTCGGATCTTTATCACTCTTCAGTATTTGCCACTGTCTCTCAAATATTTGTCTCTTTCTGAATTTAAAGCCCTTTAAAACTTATTTTCCTCTTTTTTATCTATTTATCTTCAGGCATTATACTTGAATGTATTTGCTCTTATTTTCTTTCTAGCTTACTCATCATTTCTTAAATTACATTTATTTTATTTCTAATTATTTCCTGAGTTGTATCTCTTAATTTCTGAGTTTCTAATTCTCATTTCTGTTATTTCATATTATGTTCTATTTTCATAATATCTTTTATCTTATTAGAAATATTAGATTACAGTTTTGATCTCTTTCATGGATATTTTTTCCGGGGTGATCTCATTTCCTCTATGGATGTTATTCAGCTCTTTTTTCCTTTTTTTAAAAAATAAAAACTATATGACCTTGATATTTTTCAGCTGCTTCTTTTAATGTAAATTTGTTTTCCTGAACTTGTGTCATAAAGTGGCATTCATAAAACTTTTATCAGGCCACAGAACTACCTCTGTTGATTTTGGAATGTGAAAAATAAGGCAGCTTGCTTTTTAGGCTATTTCACCATTTTGATGTGGAGCTATTCTGTCTGCCGGAACTTGTCCACGTCCTCTTAAGTTTGTATTTCATTCCAAGTGATACCCGTTCAGTATGGGGTTTGTCCTACAAAGAGGCCCTCACAGAGTGATTTTGAGCTAGGTTGCTCCAGTCTCTTCAGAACTTTTCCCCCTGAGCGTGGCATTTTTTCCCACTGCTATTCTCATATTGGCTTGCCTTTTGTATTCCTCTGTCTTCAGGGTGCCTCAGAGGAAGCTTCCTTAGCTTTTCTCCCAGACAGACGTTGATACCACACAGGTCTTGTGGCTGTTGGTGAGTGACCCCTACCCACCTGTATTTTAACACTCGCAAGGATACCTTATCACGTACTGCTTTGCTTTGCATGTGTCTCCTATAGGGTATGTATTGGAAACCATCTACAAAGTCCTATGTTAATGGTAATTGTGGAAGGCAATTAAGATCAGATGAGGTCATGAAGTTGAGGTCTCCATGATAGCACTGGTGGCTTCATTACAAAAAGTATGTGAGCTAGCAACTATGCTCCGTCTCTCCATGCGATATCCTCCACTATTTCACGATGCAACAAGGAGACCCTCACCAGATGCCAGGGTTACCAGGGTGTGCTGTGGGCTCTTTCTAGAGATGTTTTCCAGGTTCTTGTCCCAAACAAAGAATTGGACAAGAAATACACAAAAGGCAGTGCAGTTTTATATTTTTTAAAGATAAGAAAAGAAATATGCTCTACAGAGTGAGTGCAGGCCGATAAAAGTAGGAAAAGAAATATCCTATGCAGGGTGAAAGCAAGCCACTGAGAAAAACAGAGCCCTGGGGCAACAAGGTCAATGGCTGCCCTGGTTGAAATCTCCCATTCTGACTTTGAATGGAGGCCATCCTGTCAAAAATCCGCTTGATTTCACCTGAGGAGAATTAAAGATAGCATTTTCTGGTTGGTCCCAGGTGCAGAGCTTGGAACTGTTTTTCTGGACATATGTCCTGGATTTCCATGATTGATAGATCATGCCCACTTAGACACCTTAATCTCCTGTTTCACCAGCACCATGCTCGAGGACTTCTCAACCTCTGGGACTGTGAGCTAAATATGCTTTTGTTCTTTATAAATTACCCAGTCTGTAGTATTCAGCTGTAGCAACAGAAAATGGATTAAGACACAATTTTGTTGTAAATGTTGCTTGTGGAGTTTTGGTTTTGCTATGTATTTGTTCTCTCTGTTTTTGGAGGGCGTGTTTGTTTGTTTGTTGTTTTGGTACCAGGGATTGAACTCGGTACCTTGTGCTTGCAGGCAGGCACGTTGCCACTGAGCTAAGTCATTGGCCCTGTTCTCTCTGTTTTTATTTTAAGATGCAGAAAGAATGAAAAGCTATGCTTCTGATGCTGTCATCTTCCCAGAATCCTCTCCCAAGTTAATTCAATTAAATTATAAGTGTATTTGATGTTACAGTCCCTGTGGGAGGCTGCTCATAACTTATGGGTGTTGACATCTTGCTTCTATTTGGGCCTTGGAAGGTTAAGGGCTTTAAATCTAAACTGTTTATGTCACAATTAATGACCAAACATAAGGAAACTAAAATGTGAACACAGTAAATTACCGACTCACATGAATTTTTCTTTTAAAAAAAAGCATTTTAAATTTAATTACGGAAGAAATATTTCTGAGGATTTTGGAATTACTTTTAACAATAAATAAAAGAAACCAGTTATGTATGTGTTCTTAGAATTAACACAATGCAGCTTTCTTTTCTGAGGCATATACACATAAATTACTTATGTATAAGCTTCATAGAGTATAATATATTTGCATATATTGCTATAAATTTTATTTATTACCGATAAAAATTGTAAGAATTAGCACAAAAAAGAGAAAATTCTTAGTAGCAGCTAGTCAACTGATAGAGCCACTGAGCTCTCATGAAGCCCAGTATGGACCTTTAAAACAACAAAAAAATCTCAAGTGGTCGTCTTGTTCAGACCACAGCCTTAAGAATCTTTCTAACTCAATATGTTTAAGTGCAGAAAATAGTTGACAATTAATAATATCAGTAGGAACTGCTATTTTGGTCTTGCTATCTGGTTTTCTTTCACGTGACAAGGTATAGTGCCAACAAGCAGAGCAGAGAAACAATACTTAAGCACGACTTCAGAAAAATTTAACAGAGCTCTGGTATCTAGGAAACAGCAGCGCAGATAGCGCATTGAAGATGAATAGTTGAGGAGCCAGGGGCAACTCTAGGGCCATGTTATGATGCTGTGTGAGTGGCATTGCACATGGTTGCCATAGTTACAGAGCTGCACAAGCTATAGACACACAGGCCCTATGGACCCACCCACCCTGCTGCCACTGCCTTCCACACCTGCCCCTGTGAGTTTCTACAGCACCAGCATAGGGAGAAAAAGGCCATATGGCTTAAATCAAAATATTTTTTTCACTTCCAAAAATCAGAATACCAGAGATTCAGAGCAGAAGGCAAGGAAACGTTGGAAAATGCTGATTTCCCAAGGGTCAAAGCTTCAGAACATTTACTCAAAAAACAAAAAAACAAAAAACAAAACGCCGGTGTTCCTCAGATACCCACATCTGTATCTACTGTCCTGTTCCCTTTTACCTTCTTGATTTCTCTCCTCGCTATGTAGGTCCTGGCTGTCTGCTCCCGCAACTCCCACCGGCAACCTTGTCTGCAGCACCCAGGAGAGCTGTAACATTATTCAAAGGAATGCACGGGGATTGAGTTGGTAGAGTGGAGATTAGATATTTTGGTACTCTTGTTTTCTTCCAGTAGGATAAAGGAAACATGTCTTGGATGCTATTGCCAGATTTAAGGCAAAGCCAGGATAAGCTGAAGAAAAATGATAGTGGTTGTTGCAGATAAAGAGTAGGAAGTAGAAAATTTAAAAATAGAAGAGGAAAATAACTTGCTTATAACTAGGGAGGTCCTGAAGTATCGCCCTAAATTTAAGGGTTGGATGGTGAGCCATAATGAACATATGTTGAAGAGCTGTCTAGGGGTAGCACGTAGTTTTCTCTGGTCTCCTCTTCCTGGTGGAATAACTTGCACTTAGTCAGTTGGGAGACTTCTTCATGTTCATGGATACCATGAATAAAATGGTTTAGGGACTTGCTGATTCTATTTTGGGATTTCAGATGGAGTAAAGTTCCCAGAGCCTTGCTCTGCTCATGTCATATAAAGCTAGCGCTATCCAAAACATGCAAGATAGTGAGGCATAGAGGAAAGGAAAGGCAATGAACATGGAGAGATAATAAAAAGGTACAGTGGACCTTCAAATTTAAAATTACAGTAGAAGATACATTGCCCTGTGTTAGTTTCCCAGGACTGCCATAACAAAGCACTGCAAAATAGGTAGCTGAGAAAAGCTGAAATATCTTACCTCATAGATCTGGAGGATGGAAGCCTCTCTGAAACCTGCTGGAGAACTCTATCTTGCCTTTTCCCAGCTTTATGGCTTGCCCACTCTCTTTGATGTAACTTGGCCTCTGCATGCACACCCGGCCCTCCCTCTGTCATCATAACGTGATGTTTTCCCTCTGTCTGTCTCTTCTCATGATATTTTTATGACACCAGTCCTATTGGACTAAGGACCCATGCTAATCTAATCCAGTTTGACCTCATCCACTCATTACATCGGCAACTACCCTCTTTGCAAATAAGGTCATATTCTGAGCCCTGAGGAGTTAAGACTTCAACTTTTCTGCTTGAGGAAGACAAAATTCAACCCTTAACAGCATTCATCCTATCCGAGTTCAAATTTAGAGTCAGACATTTATCAGCTGTATAGTTTAGGGTGCATCTCAGCCCCTCTGAGTTTTCTTATTTATAAAATGAGGTCATGGGGAAATCATAATGTCACTTCGCAGGGTTCTGACCACATGGAACAGTAAGTAGTAAAGGTAAGAAAAGGAGAAAAGATAGAGTTTGGTAGGTAGCGATTGCTAGGTGGCCCTTTGTGAAGTCACTTTTTTATAGGAAGTGCATACTGAGCCACTGAAGAAACAAAATAAAGAATCTACTCTTTTGGAGCTTTCACTACAGAGGAAAGGAAAGACAACGAACATACAGGAATAATAAAAAGATGCAGTGGACATTCAAATTTAAAAATCACAGTAGAAGACACACTGCCAAAACAATAGGATGTGTGTTTGAAGCAAGGGGGAGTATTTTGCATAGTATTTCGAAGGGAATTAATGGAAATATGTCTATTACTGTAATCCTTTTTTAATATAAACATTCACTGTATTTTATAATTACCCTTCATTGATCAAAAATTTACAACCATTTCTTTCTTCCTTCCTTTTTCATTTTCTTTTTTTGACATAGGATCTCGCTATGTAGTTCAGGCTGGTCTCAAACTTGTGGTAATCCTCTTGCCTCCAGAGTCCTGGGATTACAGGTGTGCACCATCACACCTGGCTGGCAATTTCTGTCCAATAAAAGCATTATTCATCCTCATCTACCTTGTCCACTGGAACTGGTACTATGCAACCTCGAGCTCTTCTCCAGAGTCAAAATTACCACAGAAGGTGAATGTTTTGAATTGATCCTGAACATTGAGTCAACTACAATGGCGCAGCACACCTAAAGACACTCATGAAAGAGAACTTCGAGAATTGCTTCATAAAGTGGCAAAAAACGATGGGATAAATGTGTTTGAAGTGAGGGAGAGTATTTTAAGGGGAATTAGTGGCAGTATGTCTTTTACTATAATAAATTAAGAAAAATGTAAATGTCCATCATATTTTTATCATATCTCATATAAACCTATTGACTTGTAACCATACAGACTAAGGTAACTATACATAGTAAGAAGAAAATAAAACAGGGTAAAAGGACTTTGGGGATGCAAGTGTCTCTGAAGATGCAATTTTAACTGAAAGCTGGATGTTGTGCCGAGGAAAGAAGATTCTAGGCCAAAGGAATGGTACATGTGAAGATGTTGACACTGGAGCCTATCTGGTGCAATCAAAAAGCAATGAAAAGGTCACTGGTTGGAGAGTAAATGTGGGAAAAAAATTTTTTTGGGGTACTGGGGAATCAAACTTAAAACCTTGCACTTGTGAAGCAGGAGGCAGAATCACTGAGCTAAATCCCCAGCCCTTGGAATTTTTTTATTTTAATTTATTTTATTTTTTTGTACAAGGGATCCAACTCAGGACCTTGTGCTTGTGAGGCAGGCAGCAGAACCACTGAGTTAAATCCCTGGCCTGGAAATTTTTAATAACAAAAATATGTAAGCCAAATTCAGGTGACATGGAGGGTAGTGTGACAGAGAAATAAGTGTCAAGGCTTTAAAGCCAACAAACTGGAATTCAAACTCAAGCTCTGCCATTTACTAGTGTTATATGCTTGAACAAGTCCTCTAACATTGATGAGCTTTGGTTTTCTTATCTGTAAAGTGGCCAAAAAAAAAAAAAGTTATTTTGCAGGACTGTTTTAAAGTGCAAATGAGGTTTGAAAAAGGATGTGTTTGAAAGATAGATTTGAGTTTGAATTCTAGTTGTATATCTTACTTGCTTTTCAGGAGTAGACTGAGATTTGGCTTTTGCACATATGAAATGGGAACAACAATATTATGTAACTGCACTGTTTTAAGGATTTAGCTAGATGAAATATACTTTTATTTTTGGCAGTTTCATTTTTATGTATGTTTATGTTTTTATTTGTCTTACTCAGGACCCACTATTTTCACTCACTCAAAAAAGTCATATCTTTCTTCAATTTGGAAAATTACTTTATTCACTAGCTCTTTGACTGATATCTCTTCTCTCTGCTTGCTATATTCTCTGTATGGTGAAGGTGAGCAGTGGTCCACAGCAGAAGTAATATCAATATTTCTGTAGCTTAAAACAACAAGGTTTAGTGCTGGGGATTTAGCTCAGTGGCACTGCACCTGCCTTGCAAGCGCGAGGTCCTGAGTTCAACCCTCGGTACCAAAAAATATAAATAAAAAAGGTTTATTCCTCACGCCTACTCCATTAAGCATTGACTGGTCCCTGTTCTGGATTGTGCTTACTCTGAGACCCAGTCTGTAAAAGAACCACAATTTGGAATGTTGCTCGTTGCTTTGGCAGAAGTGGGGAAGAAAAGAGCATGATGAATTTTGTGTTGAGTCCCTTTTTTTTGGTTTTGTGAGACATGGTCATGCTATGTAGTTCAGGCTGGTCTTGAACTCATTAGGTAGTCTAGAGTGGCCTCAAATTCACAGCGATCCTCCTGCCTCAGCCTCCCGAGTGCTGGGATTACAGGCGTGCACCACCACTTATGGCTCTGAGTCTTAAATCTTCCCAGAAGGGATATTCACTCACAGTGTGTTGACTAAAGTAAGTCACATGACCACATCCAATTTTTAGGCTTTGGGGAAGTACAGCTTTCCCACAGATCGAAGGAGGGATCAGAAAATAATAGGAGTTCAGCAATAATGGCTATTATTATGGAACTCTATTAGATGCATCATGCTTCTTAACTCCTCTTTTTTATTATCCTTTTACCCCATTCTGAGCTGCGTATCTTAGATAATTCACAAAGTTTCTCTTTAGCTAGGTCTGGACTACTGTTCAACCCAGCCACAGAGTTTTAATCTTCAAACACTAAACTTTTAATTTCTAGAATTTTTTTTCCATTTGTTCTTCATTTACCTGTCCCTTTGCTGTCTAGTGGATTCTATTTCTTCTTTTATATTTTTAAACATTTTAAAGTTTCTTTCAGAATAGGCTATTATTTCTAGCTCTAAGAGTACAAATCCTCTTAAGAACTAAACTGCTGATCTTGAAATGATTTGTTTTCTTGCCTACTTTAAAAATCTTTATTTTGGATTCATCTTCAGTGAGTCTATTTCTGTATGCTCTGATCATAGAAAGGTCCCTTCGGGGCAGCGTTACCTCTGTGGAAGACCTCTGGATATTACAGCATCTGGGCCAAATGTCAATGTTAAAGCCTCAGCGAGGGGATCTCAGAGTCACCAAGAGGTATGTATTCAGGGCTAACACACCATTTCTGGGTAGAGTGGCAGTGAGTTCCGCTTTCTCTTATTTCATCCATTGCCTTGGGTAGATATCCAGTTTTGCTAACTCTTCCAGAGGCTGCTGGGAGGAATTTTCATAGTCCCGTTTAATGAATGGTGTGGGCCTTTCTGACTGGGGGCCCTTGTAGGTTGTTACTCAGGCTCCTTTAGCTTCACCATGGATTCTGAACTCCGCTCCTCATGCTGCCATTCCAACACTGACTCTCATCCATTAAGACCTACTTTAGGTTCCAACATCCCAGTAGCATTCACTTTTTTTTTTTTTTTTTTGAGACAAAGTCTCACTATGTAGTTGAGACTGAGAACTCACTATGTAGCTCAGGTTGGTTTCAAACTCATAGCGATCCTCCTGCCTCAGCCTCCTGAGTGCTGTGATTACAGGAGTGTGCCACCATGCCTGGCCTTTGCATTCACTTTTTTTCCTTCTTATAATTCTGATTTTCAGACCCTCCTTCATTTCTAGGACCTTGAGATACCTTTTACTCCATTTGAGCTTAGTTATTTATTTTAAAAAAAGAGTTAATTTGAAGCAGAATATCTATGTTTTTGTACTTGGGGGTGGGGTCCTTTCAAATCACCTCAGCTTTTCATATTGACAAGAATTTTCTACTTTTTCATGAGAATAGACTTCATATGAGGGAGTTTAGTGAAGTGATAATTAGTAAGTTATGAAAGATCAAGGTGTTTTTGTTTCTTTAAAGAGGAGAGACACAAACATATACATATGCTCAAGGGAAAAAAACGGTAGATACATGAACATGGAGAAATTGCTGTCTAGAGACGACATTGGAATCCAGAATAGATGAACTTGGAATTTGGAGACTAGATAAGGGGTCAATTTTGGAGCGATGAAGCGTTAGCTCCTCCTTGGAAATAGAAAAGCAGGAAAGAAAGGGTCCACGTTGCTAAAAGTTGTTGGGAAATCTGGAAATTGATGTCTGATGCCTGTGTTTTCTCTGAGGTAGTCAGGATGTAGGTGAGCTACGGCAGTGGAAGCTTTAGACATTCACTGTGAGGAATAAGAGAGTTAGTAAAAAACAGACATACAAAGGAACTTCTGAAGAGATAAGCAGGCCAACTGAGATTGGAAACCATACATTTCTAATGTCACCAACACAGTGAATGGGAAATATTTTTTTTCTAACTGCCCACATGTGGGAGCAGAGAAGTATGTGGCTGGGTCTGTTGAAAGTTAGAGTTTGAAAGGCAGTTGCTGGTAAAAGACAAACAGGTAAAGGAAGAGAGGGTGAGAAGAGCACTTTGAAGTGATGAATTAGGAAAACTGAACTGAGCATGAGTTAAACCTATTCTTTTTCTTGAGACAGGGTCTCACTATATAATTGAGACTGACCTGGAACTCACTATGTAGCCCAGGCTTGAACTCACAGCGATCCTCCTGCCTCAGCCTCCCAAGTGCTGGGATTTCAGGCGTGCACCACCTGAATTAAACCAACTGAATTAAACCCACTCTTGAACCGTAACACAAAAATGAAACAGACTGGGCCATGATTGATGGTACAGCCCCAATAGACATTCGGACCTCCAGAAATGGCTACTGTCACTCAGGATGCAGTGTTACTTTTGCGATGAGATTTTCTACTTATGTCTTGAGTAGCAACTGCTTGTTGTTTTGGGAACAACTAGTATGCTTTTTCTGATCTCCATTCATTGATTTGTTATCTTTGTGTGCCCCTGGGTGAAACTCATCAAGACATCAAGTGGTTGGCATGAGCTATGTGGACCTCTCCTAGGCAGAGTCCTTGTACCACGCCATTCCATAGGCCTTTTAACCTTCAGGTCAAGTTGACGGGTTAGAATGGCAGACATGTCCTTGATGCACAAAGAGACCTCTCAGAAAGGTCTAAGACTTCCCACAATTCTTTCCAGAAGGAATAAAACCGCAGGTAGCACTTTCCTCATAAATGTTTAAATAGCATTTCTCCTCCTGGACTTGATAGTAGGTCTCTATCCATTTCTTTAATTTTTACATCTTGCCATCTTGTGTAGCTGGACGCAGCTCAAAAATTCCTCATGTAGCACACCTAATTGTGGAAGTTGCATATTCTATATTTGCTTGGAATTTACTCCACCCACACCCTTCTTCACATACACACATAAATAAGTTCACATATTCTTTTCTCCTCTAACTCCCAGCTCCCATTTTGAGGAAAAAAAATAAATTATTTTCTACACATAATTTTCTTCCTGATATGCATATATTAACAGTAGTAGTGTAGAATCTTCCAAAGTGTGATTAAAGGAGTGATTTCAGTTTCTAGGTGAAATTTTTACCATTTAATATAAAATATTCCAAAAATGTCTTTCAATTTCTATTACCTAGAGCAGGACTTGGCGTACTTTTTCTGTAAGGGGCCAGAGAGTAAATATTTCAGGTTTCAAAGGTTGTATCACAAGCAGTAGCACAGCTTACTCGCAATGGTAGCCGTAGACAATATTAAAATTAATGAGCATGGCTGTGTTCCAGTAAAACTTATTTACAAGAACAGGCATCAGGCTGGACTTGGCTAGAGTGCTGTAGTTTACTAAGCTCTGATCTAGAGGATTATTATTTATGGCTTCTGCTATTTGGCTGGGTAAGAAGAGCTAAATCTCACAATGGTAGTGGTTTTTTTGTAACAGATGGCATAAATGTTCACTGATCTGTTGACTCTTTATGTAAATTTAGTTATGCAGTGCTAAATAATTGAAGGTCACCACATCATGCCACTCTGGAATCATGCAGTGCCTAGACTGTGTGGCCATATGCAGCAGCTATGAATATATTTAAAGTTATTTTTCTGTGGTTCCAATTTCAGACCAGATTAAGGCAAAGAAAAGTCCTGTGTTCATTTATCCATTTATCCTTGCTGGAGCAAGGTTTGGTGACCCTTCTGATTGGCTCAGACCTTGCGTAACTGCCAAGAATATAAAACATGAGTCAAACAAGGTCTTTGTCCTCAAGGAGCTATGACTCAGGAAGACATATTAGTTTCCTAAGGCTGCTGAAACAAAGTTACCAGAAACCAGGTGGCTTAAGGAGAAATTGATTGATTGCCTCAAAGTTCCAGAGGCTAGAAGTTTGAAATCAAGTTGTTGCAGCGCCATGGTACCGCTGAAGGCTGTAGGCAAAATCCTTCTTTGCGTCTTCCCAGCCTCTGGTGGTCTCCCTGCAATCCTGAGTGTTCCTTGATTCATAGCTGCAGCGCTTCACTTTCCGCCTTCGTTGTCACATGACACCCTCCTCTCGTGTGTCGCTGTCTGTGTCCCCTATAACGACAACAGCACCATCCTACTTCAGCATTGTCTCATCTTAACTAATAATATCTATAAAGATCCTGTTTCCAAATAAGGTCACATTCTTAGTTACTAGGTGGTAGGATGTCAGCGTATCTTTTTGGAGTCTCAATTCAGCTCATAACATAAAACAAGAGTAAATGGGAAAACATATGATTGTTACTATGGAAACCTGTGTCAGAGAGAAAGAAGGCAAGGCCAGAGGAGACAAAGTTTTCACGAGAGTCGGGAAGGGTTCTGTAGACGATGTGATACTTGAGCAGCTTCTGGAAAATGATGCTGAGTGTTTAGCAGGCACAAAATAGGCTTGTAAATGGGACGTGGGAATGGAAGAGCATCCCCAGCCGATGCAGCAGCCAGGCAATAACACGACGTCACTTTCTTTAAAAATTTAATTTATTGTTACATTCTAGGTAGACAGTACAGTTACATTCATTACTGGGATCTTGCACCTTTACATGCCAGGTCTTGGTTCTCATTTGTTCCCCTTGTCCCCGCCCTCCCTTCACCCTCCCCTCCCCTCCCCCCCTTCAAACACTTTAATTCCATTTTTACATTTTCTCATATTTTTTTTCCTTTTCCCTTATTCCCCCTTCCCTACCCTTCTCACTTTTTAAATCAGGTTCCACCACACTCGGAAAGGGGCCTATGCTTCCTGTTTTCCAGAAGAATTAAAATGACTTCATAAACACCTTGGCTCTTGCTCTTTGGTATACTTATGACAGTTATTCGAGATCGATGACATGTCTCTAGTGGGAAGAGGGGCGATGAAATTAGAAGGCAGAGGGCTGGGTGGCAGATGACAAATCCAAGCTATATTTGCAGGGTACACACACTGGTTTTACTTAGTTTGCCTGTTGTAGATTGATAAAAATAGCAATACTGTCTAAAGATGATTTCATTGGCACTTTCACTAGATGGAGAAAAAGTCAATTGTATGTTTCATAGGAAAGGAGCAATGATAGAAACAGTGAAAGGAGATGAACCCTCCTCCTGGCACATCACCCAGTTGAAACCCTAGAGTATGAATGCATTTTATCTCATTATCCCCAAATTACAGGTAAAGATATAGAGAGTTTGAGAGTTTAAATATAGTACCTTACTTGCATAGCTACTGATTTCATTTCAAAAATAATCTAACCCTTCCCCGTACATGTACACACTAGGACTCTAACCTATCCAACACGGTAGCCACACAAGGGGCTGTTCAATAATGGAAATTAATTTAAAATTCCTTTCCTGGATTGCACTAATCCACTTTAAGAGCTCAATACCTACATGGTGCTGAGGGCTACTACCACGGAACACTTTGTAACTGGGTACTGCCTCATGACTTTGTTTTTGTTTTTGTTTTTGTTTTTTGAGACAGGGTCTCACTATGTAGTTGAGACTGACCTGGAACTCACCATGTAGCCCAGGCTGGTCTCGAACTCACAGCGATCCTCCTGCCTCAGCCTCCCGAGTGCTGGGATTACACCATGCCCAGCTCTACATGACTTTGTTTATGAAGATCAAGTTAGTGTGGTGTAGCATTCCAAATTGTTTCTGGTGAACAAGAAAAGCACAGTTAGTCATAGTTTGTGAACGATATTTGACTACTGTATTAATGAAGGAAATCTAATAATTTAGAGAAAATTGAGAAAGGTAGTT